TAAACTATTATTGTACTGTCCTTAGAATCTTGCATTTATTCATTAGAGCTAGTGCAACTTACTCTACTATAGAAATTGTTACCTTGAAATGGATGGGATGCCACTGTAATCAAAACATAAATATATAACATGAGCTTAGAAATTGAGTAGCAATTTGAGAAACCTAAAAATCTTTATTCTTCAGGGACCTTTACATTGTCTGAGGCGGGGGTGTCTCAAAATTTCCACACACCAACAGCTACTTCGTCTTTCATTCTTCTCTTTTCTGAAGGGCACATTTATTGTGATGATCTGATCCACACTCCTCCATTTGAGACGGGAATCACTTCCAAACCTGATGGAAAAGACAGAATCACAGGGAGTACCTTGGAGCCTTGGACTTGGAGCTCGATCTATTCTCTCTTCTATTTTGCAACTACTTTAAAGCCACCTGTTGAAGATGGTGGTTATACAAGATGGAAGATCCCCAGGTCCCTGAGTCACCATTTGGAAGCGACCTAGCTAACCCACATTTGATTGCCATGTGAATGACAAATAAGCTTTTGTTGGGACCCTGGCCGGTTTGGCTCAGCGGTTGGAGCATCAGCCTGTGGTCCAGAGAGACCCGGGTTTGGTTCCTGCTAAGGGCACATACCTCAGTTGCAGTTTGTCCCTGCCCTGTTGGGGTCGTGTGGTTGGCAACCACTCGATGTGTCTCTCTCACGTCGATGTTTCTCTCTCTTGCTCCCCCCCTCTCCCTCCTGCTCTATCTGAAGATAAATGAAAAAAAAACAAAAAAAAAACCTTTTGTTGGGTTAAGATAGCGGGATGTGGGATTGTTGCCACAGCAGTGAGCGTTACTTTCACTTATTAATATAAATATAGGAGATGACTATATTTACAAAATACGCCAAATAGGAGAAGCCATTTGAGAAAAAGAAGTCAAAGAAGTTCAGGAGAAACAGAAGTATGCAGAAGCTGATAAACCAGGAAGAGAGATTCAAGAAGGAGCTGCCAATGGCGTTGGTGATGGTTGATCTTATGTGTCAACTTGGCTAGGCCAAGGTACCCAGATATTTGGTCAAACATGATTCTAGATACTTTTAGATCTGAAGGCATTTTTTAGATGAGATTAACATTTAAATCAGTAGACGGTGAGTCAAGCAGACACCCTCCATTCTGCAGCGGCCTTTTCCAATCAGTTGAAAACCTTACTAGAAAAGGGCTGACCTCCGCAGAAAAAGAGGGCATTCTGCAGTCGACTGGCTTTGCACTTCAGCTGCAATGCCTTCTGTTCCCTGGTCATCCAGTCTGCTAGTTATTGACTCTGTTTCTCTGGAGAAACCTGACTGATACAGCATTAAATCTATAAACTGGTTGAAGATGATACAGATTTTGAAAAACCTATATATTTAACAACTAGAAGGAAGGGAGCAATTTCCCTGAGCACTGAGGGCTGAAGCTGCATTCTAAGGAGAAAAGTGGAAGTAATGTCTAATGCTGGAGAGGAGCATGAGTTGGGGAGGAGAGCATCAAAGGCATAGATGGAAGCATTGAACTTCAGGAGAAAGGGAGATTAATTGATTGATTCATTGATTGATTGACTTGCCTAAACTTGAAAAGAGAAAGGAAAGTCTGGTTGCCCCCTGGAATGTTTTATTCTGAGCAAATTACAACATGGCTCAAAAACTGAGGTGGGACTTTCTCCCCTCATTAATACATGGAAGGTCCCACCATTCGTGATTTTGTTTTTTCCTCAATGACCTCTAGACTTTAGCTATTCCCTTTGACTTTCAACATAAGTCTGGTTTATGTGCTTCAATCAGCTGTACCCCCCCACCCCCCACCATATCTCCCCAGTTCAAGTTAAAAGCTACATTAAATCATTCCCCTCACTCCACCCAGCCCCACCCTGTCTGGTGCTGTCTGTGCCTCTGCACTGTAGGACCAGCTGAGCCACTCCTAATAGTCCCATAACTTGGTCTCTCAGGGGGAGTGGGTCCAGTTAACCCTGGGTTCATCACTCTGGTTGTTGGTAAAAATTGCAGCAGGAAGCTTTTTTTTAAATTTTATTTTATTAAAAAAATTTTTTTTCCTTTATTGATTTTAGAGAGAGGGGAAGTGAGAAGGAGAGAGAGAAACATTGACAAGAGAGGATAATGATTGGTCACCTCCTGTATGCTCCCCACTAGGGATTTGGTCTACAACCTGGGCATGTGGCCCTGACCGGGAATCGAACGGGTGACCTCTTGGTGCATGGGTCGATGCTCAACCACTGAGCCACACCGGCTGGACTACAGCAGAAAGCTTTTATCCAAAGGCTGGTATAATCTCTAGGAAACCCTATTTCCTACCTTCTTGATCTGTGATCTATGATCTTGATTTGTAATCATCCTTTATGCTCCTCTTTCTGCCTCCTTCCCTCTCTGAACTATTCTGGTGCTTTGGCCCCTGGTGTCTGCCAACTTGTCTCCAGCTCTTTCCAGCCAATCCAGTTCTGGGTTCCCTCTCCCCAGAGTCGTTTGGGAACTGGAGTTCATCCTCTGCACCTCCCCAGGGCCGGGGTCCAGCTCTGCTCATCCAGGGCTAACCTACAACCAGACACAGATATCTTTTATTTCTTTGCTGATTCATCTGCATTGTCATAGCAACCACAGGGTACATATATTCTTCAATCCCAAAGGGGCAGGGGCTGGGAGAGGTTTAGACCCTTTTTTTAACCAAACATCTTGGATGGAACCAACTAAAGAAAGCATGGACAAAACGAAGTCTTGTGTTTGTTCTTTCTATCAACAAGTATTTGAGTTCCTTCTATGGGAAGCAGTGTGGTGTACTGTGGCTAAGCCCACAGGCACTGGATTTAGCTTGCCTGAATTCAAAATCCCCAAATCTCCATTTACTAGCATATTATTTATCCTCCCCATACCTCAGTTTCTTCCTCTGAAAAATGAGCACCCATAATAGTGCCTATCTCCTAGGGCTACTGTGAGGAGTAATAAGTTAATACACAAGTAACAGCCTAGGTAAAGGTTCCTTTGACATGAACATCTCCCTGGTGTCTACAAAGCAGCTCTCTTGACCTATGCCCAGAGTCCTTTTGAAACTGGAGTTCATCCTCTGAACCTCTTTAAGCTGGGGTTCAGCTCTGCTCACCCAGGGCCCATCTACAACCAGACACCAGCATCTTTCATCTTTGCTGATGCATCTGCATTACCATAGCAACATCTCTGATCCTGAGAGACTAAGGCTCACGTGGTAGACTCAGAATCCAGACTCAAGGCCCCAGGAGTACATTGTGACTACAGGTAGGCAACGTCCTCTCTATCCACATAAGAAATGTCCAAACCCTTAGAGGATTTCTATGAGTTCTATGAGTTCATTTGAACCAAACTGACAATAATTGCCAGGAAGTAAGATCTCAAATGCTTTGGAGAATGACAGTTTGCAGTTTCTTTCATACATTTGGAATTAAGGAGGGGAGTAAGGAAGATTACACGAAGGTGGGGAAAAACAAGGCAGGGATTGGATTACAAGAGTTAACAAGATTATGTGCTCTCTAGAGGGTGGTTCTGCTTCTGAGCGGTCTGAAAGAAGAGGCATTTCAAAGGTATGTTAACCTAGATGCACAGAAACAATGGCTAGGGCTTGCTTAAGGCAAAAATATACCTTTTACTAGGGAAGCTATAGGTCTGAGGCATGACTACCCGCCATGACCTGCCCAGTTAGGAAATTTATGATCAGATCAATGCGAAGATTACTTTCGGATAGATTTATTACAGCACTCCTTTTTCTCCACATCTCTGAGCCCTGGTCTCCTCAAAATGGTAGTGTGGTTCCCGGTTCCCTCACTCAAGGTTGTCTTGCGGTTCTGTTGAGATAGTGGAGAGAATGCACTTGTCATTGGGAAGTGGAGATTAGAGATAGCTGAACATCACCTTTTCTGCAAGTTTCTCTGCCCCTTTGGCCTACTTTACTCCAAGGGCCAAATGGGGAGTGGACATGGAGGAGTGGGCAGGTGGACCAGGGGCTGACTGTAGTAATCAGAGGATACCAGGCAGGGTTGTCCCCACTCTGTGGTGCCTTCTCTCACTGCACCATCCTGCCGTAGTGTTCACACACCTCCGCACCTTCACTTGTCTAACTGCTGGCTTTCCTCACCAGCTGCACCCTCATGGAGACAGGGCTGGGGAGGAGTTTGGGGCCAAATATGGCACAGAGTAGGTGCTCAGTAAGTTAAATGTTCCACCAATGAAGAATAACATGTGAAGATCTCAGAGGAGTGCCTATGAGAAGAGTCACAGCTTCTTGCTGGAGGCCAATTTCTCTCAGCTGTCACTGTTTACACCAGAGGTCCCTCCACCAACAAAATCACAGAATTTGGGAATGCTGGGGCCCAATTTGCTCACGCAGAAAATCAAGGTTTGGAGACAAAAAGTGGCTGCCCAGTCACTCGCCTACGGTGGCAGAGCTAGAGTGACCAACCATTCTGGTGTATCAGGGACTGAGGAGTTTCTAGGAACGCGGGACTTGCGTAGCTCACACAGGGACAGTCCCAGGCAAACCAGGGCGGTAGGGGCTGGGGCTGGAACCTAGGGACCTTCTTGCTCTGAGTCCTTCTACCCCTTACGGGGGAGAAAAATGTCCAGGGCAAAACTCCAGCCACCCCCCAACCCCACTCTGCGCCACCAGGCGGCCCCCACAGGCAAACGACTGCTGTAGAAGCGCGGTCCCTGCGCACTCCCCCGAGGTCCTGCGCCAGGGTAGGGGCGCGGACACAGGGACCCACGGCGGCACAAAGAGGCCTGGCCGCGCGGCAGTTTTGAAAATACCAAGGAAGTTGATCTGGGCCAGGGCCCAAGAAGTGACGAAGAGGGAGGGAGCTAGGGAGGGGGCGCGGGGATCCAGCGGCCGCAGAGCTCGCCGGCCTCCAGCGGGGAGCGCGCAGGCGGTGGGATGGGCGGCGGGCGCGGCGCCCCCAGGCTGCGACCCCGGGAACCCTCCTCTCCGTGCGCCGCCTCCGCGGCCCGGCGCTCCAGCAGAACTCCGGCTCCCAGCCCGGCTCCTGCGGGCGGCGCGTAGGGCGGCGATCCGGTGCCCCTCGAGGAGCCGCCGGCTTCACCGCGGTCACCACGCAGCTCGAGCCGCGCGCAGCGAGGCCCTCCCGAGGCCCCAGCACAAGGGACCATGAAAGGTAAGCCCCGCGTGCGCTCGAGTTCCCCGGCGATAGCCTGTGGGACCACCCCACCCAGGCGGGGCTAAGAAGAGGACTCCCCCGGGCAGTTCAGGGCACTTCTTGCCTCTCCGACCGACCCTCTTGCGGAAGGTATTGGGAGGACAGCGTGGAGCCCTGAAGTCAAGATGAAGGGGAGAGGAACATGGAGAAAGTTCATACAGTCCTGTCCTGTGCATTGCCGTAGCCCTGAAATATGGTTTTAAATTCCAAAGAGGTTTCCGATCTCTTTAACCAGTCAGCGCAGAAAGGTGTCACCAGCCCAGCCTTATAGCGGTGTAAATCCCCGCCCAGGAGATTCAAATCAGAGGCTCCTGCAGCCTCCGCCTAGCCTTCTGCCCAGCGCCAGGCCAGGGGTTCTCCTCCAGCAACTTCCACCCCTTCTTCAGGAGAGCCCTTCGGAGTCCCTTAGTCCAGGCCCTGCCCTTCCCAACCTATGAACCCTGGCTGACCTGCCCTGCCCTCTGACCTCCTGGGAACAAAGCAGCTAGAGAAGACCTGTGGTCCAGGCCTGAGCTGTCCCCAGGGCAGTGGGTCATCAGATGCTGGCCCTTACAACCAGTTCTTGGGATGGAAACAAGAACCAGACTTGGTCCCAGATGCTCCTACCTGGGCCTGGCTTTCTCGAGGCCTGGGAAAGAACATGCTTGGTCTTCGGGTTCATTTTCAGGCTAAGGGAGAGGCAGGCTATGCCGCTGCGAACCATCATTGTTTTTTCATGCTGTCTCCCATGTTTTTCATTAATCCTTCCATAGTACCCAGGGCAGATGCTTGTGCTCCTAGCAGTGAGAACCTCACTACCTATTCGACTTATTGAACGTTGATACTGCAAAGGACCTCTGAGGTCATCTGCAGGGCTTGAAACTCTACTCTCAGGTGGCACTGAAGAAGCGGCTGTTTGTCTGTTTTCCATATAAAGGCCAGAGGGTTTCTCTGATTGAATACAGCCTCCATAGTTGAGGAAACTGAGGTCCAAACAGGTAGGCCCAGTTTCGTGGGTATGCAACCTGTGCATTCCCACAGGGCCCTGCACTTGGAAGGTCGCGGTGCTAGGTTAACGCTCTGCTGTCACTGTCTCAAAATTCTTAATAATTTTTTTTTTTAACAAGGGACCCCCACACTTTTATTTTACACTGGGCCTCGCAAATTATATTGCTGGTCCTGTGGACAAGAGAAAGGACTTGCTTAAGATTCACAGCTAGTGCCCGGCTGGTGTGGTTCAGTGGATTGAGCATTGTCCCATGGACGAGAGGCTCTGGTTCAATTCCGGGTCAGGTACATGCCCTCTGTTGCAGGCTCGATCCCCGGCAGGGGGCGTGCAGGAGGCAGCCAATTGATGTTTCTCTCTCACATGGATGTTTCTATCCCTCTCTCTCTAAAAAAATAAAATAAAATAAAATAATCGCCCTGGCCAGTTTGGCTCAGCAGTTAGAGCGTCGGCCTGCGGTCCAGAGAGACCTGGGTTCGGTTCCCGCTAAGGGCGTGTACCTCGGTTGCAGTTTGTCCCCGGCCCTGGTTGGTCGTGTGGGTGGCAGCCACTCGATGTGTCCCTTTCACGTCGATGTTTATCTCTTTCTCTCTTCCTCTCTCTCCCTCTCTCTCCCTCCCACTCTATCTGAACAAAAAATGGAAAATGTCCTTGGGTGAGGATAAAAAAAAAAAAAAATCAAGAAAAATGTATTAAAAAAAAAAAGGTTCACAGCCAGTCAGGGAGAGTAAAACCCAGGCCTCCTGACTTCCAGGCCAGAACACTTCCTTCTCTGGTCGCTCTGTCCTTCCTGATGGCCTCACCATGTTTTGGGCTGTCTGGGATGAAGCTAGCAAGTTATAATCAACCCCCAGGAGTTTGAGTGGCAGCAGGAGGAGCCTTACCCAGGAGATTTCTGCTCTGGGCTATTACATCTATGGAGCCTTACACTCCTCAGTCAGCCGGCTGGGGCAGGTCATTACCCAGAAGCCTCCCGGAAGATCTTAGACCACAGGCCTGGAGCCCACGCTGCTCTCGGCCTTAATGATGCTGCTGAGATGCTGCACATTCTCAGAGTGGTTTGGCTGCACCGACCATCCAGACAAACGCTGTAAGAGAAAATACAGTGCGGACAAAACAGGCAGGGCCGAAGTCCTCTGAAATGGAGGAGACACCCAGCTCCCAAGGAACAGGGAGTCGGGAACATATGACCCGCCTTTCTGAAACTCCGCGAGGCAATTCTCCTCTGAGTCGAGGAGAAAAGGGCTGGTGTGATAATATTTAGAGGAGGTTCCTGAGAAGGACCAGCTGAATGTTTCCTCATGTTACCAGATCTCAGTGGCCTGCTGGCCGGGAGGTTGGGAGTCCCAGAAAGAAGCCCAGTGCCTGCCCCTCTCGCTTCCTTTTTCTGCTCTCAACCAACAGCCACGTGGGGCCCAATTCCTGCCCATTGAGGCCTTCAGGGCAGCTCTCGTGTATTTTTCCTCCAGTCTCCAGGAAACCTTCCAGTGCTCTCCCATAATATACCGGGGACCAGGGCCGCGGAGCTCCAGGGAAAGACGAGGGGCACACCTCCTGCTGGGTCTTCCCTTGTCCTCATCGGGAGCCAGGAATTGCCGCCACCTCCGCCTGAGATGGAAAAGGCAGGGCAGACAGCAAATATTTGGCCTTTGGGATCTGTGGAGTGTGAAAAATCAAGATTTTTTTTCACCCACATGGAAAAAGGAAAGTGCCCGGCAGAACAGGGCAGCCCCTTCCAGAGCGACTCTTCCCGGAGGGGAAGCTGGCTTTAGATGCTTCTCCAAAGGCCCCACCAATCTGAGAATTACATCTGTTGACAAAGATTCACCGTCCCCTCTCAAAGCAAAACACAGTGATGTTATGTTTTGAGGGGGAGAGGACTGTTGGCGGGACGGTACTTAAACAAGAAAACACGTTCTCTGAGGAGCACTGCCCCCAGTGGCCAGGAGCCAGGGCTGACTCTGCCAGCCAAGCTGTTTCCACCCCAAGGCCCCTCCTGCCTGCCTGCCAGCCAGCCAGGCCTCCCAGGCAGCTGCAGCTTTTGATGCAAGCTGGCACCTAGCCCCAGGTGCAGCCCCTCACACCTGAAGGCCACACAGCTGCCTCCAGCCCCTTGGTGACGGGCCCACCTTGGAGCTTCCCACTGGCTTGGCTGAGCCTTTAAGAGCCACCTGTAAGATTGTTTCCATAGCTCTGATGAAAGCGTCCTGTCATGGGAGCCCACCCACCCCCAGCAGCAGCCTGGCCCTGCCTTCGAAGTGTTTCCCCCTCTGGGTCCTGGTCTCCTGGGTATCCCTGAGGCCATCCTGCTCTGCTGCACGGGACTCCGCCCCGGAGCTCTGGGCCTGAGTACCACTTGGGGAGCAGAAATGATTTGGTGGAAAACAGGACTGCTGCAGGGGCCGCTCTTTGCCTCTGGGAGACTTGTCCTCAGCTGCCACGGATGGACAGGGCAGAGACACGCTCCACTGTTCCCCAAGAGTGGGAGGAACAGCCCCTCCCCACAGAATCAGAGAGCAGTGCCCACTCCATGTGGGCAAAGGACCGGCAGGGGGAGGAGGGGGCTGTGGAGTACAGCAGTGTGATCTCAGGAAAATCCACCTCCCATAGCTCCATGAGGGGAGATTATCCACTCAGGAGCAGGCAGACTGGATATCCTTTGGAAGTCTGACCTCTATCCCCAGACCCTGGGGCAGGAGAAAGACTAGAAGAAAAGGAGCTGATGTGGCAAAGGTGCAAAGACCCCTAAAGCCCAAATCAGGGGAGAGAGAAGGGGCTTGGATGTTGGGGATCACCTCCAAACTCTCAGACACACACACACACACACACACACACACACACACACACACCACTGGTCAACTTGCCATCCAGCTGGGGTGATTTTAATAACTGAAGACTCACATCCCATAGCTAATTTCAGAGAGAGGAAAAATAATTATTTTTCTTAGTAGATGTTGGTGGATAGCTTGGCAGTTTTCGTGAAGGACAGGCAGCTGTGCTGGGTGTTAGACTAGGCAAGTACAGCAGCATGACAGACTGTGCCAGTCATATATACACTGCCCATGTGAATTATGATCGAACTAGTGTGTGTGTGTGTGTGTGTGTGTGCGTGTGTGCTGTGAGCGCTGAAGCCCAAGGTTAGGCCCAGCTCTGTCACAGACTACTTTATGACTATATAACTAGAATGAAGTCATTGATACTCCTTGGCTCTCAGTCTCCTCATCTGCAAGTAGACTGGATGATCTTTGAGGTTCTTTCTAGTGTTAACATTCTACTGTATTGTTTTTTCTTCTGTGAGTGTACACACACACGCACACACACACACACACTCATTTCCCCACAGAGTGTGAGTTTCATGAGCATGGGGTTCCCGTCGGCTTCTTTCCTGACTCACTCCCACACAGTGCTTGTTACATAGGAGGTGTCCACTATATTCGTTTAGGGGGTATATCTGAGTCTTCCACTGGGCTGGAATCGTTAAAGGCAGGTATCACACCGTGGTATTCTCAGAACCTAATGTAGGTGTTCAGTGAAGATTTATGCAAATATTTATTGACCAACTGCTAATTGCTAGGGCTTATATATCCATGTCCAAGAAAGATGCAAAGAAGAGCTCAGACACTACCCTTTCTCTCAAGGAGCTTACCCTTTGCTAGGACACTTAAGATTTGTGCCCAAACCATTAAAAAAAGACTAAGTGGTAAGTGTCATAAGAGAGGTCCCAGGAGGCAGCTTGGGTGGTATTGGTTCTTTCTGCGTTTCTCCTCCTTCGCAGGTTGAGTCTATGGTTTCATCTGTGGACTCCTTGGCTCTTACTGGGCATCCATTCTTACAACAGTCTTGCCCAGTTTCATAGATTTGACATGGGAATAGGTGGATGATACCAGATTTACCTTTCTGAGCTCTAGATTCATCTTGCCAACAGTGTCTTACACATCTCCAGATGCAGACTTGCAGACACCTCCTTCAAGGC